TCGGCGTTCTCGCGGATCGCGCACGTGTTGAGCAGCACCACGTCCGCGCCGGAGAGCGACGCCGCGTGCGAGTAGCCCGCGCCCTGCAGCACGGACCGCACGACCTCGGTATCCGCCACGTTCATCTGGCAGCCGTACGTCTCCATGTAGACGCCGCGGCCTGGCGCAGAGGCGGGAGGGTGCCACGTGGGCGGCTACTCGCGGTGCAGTGGCGGCGTCGAGGCGGCGCCTGCTCCGTCGAGCTGCGCCGAGGTGAGGTAGGGCGGCAGGTTTGTCTCGCCGACGTCCGCAGTACCCTCGTGCGGCGTGAAGTCGCGCAGGCTCGCGGCAAACTCGAGCCGTCGGCGAGAGGGCGTTCGCGCCGAGAAGGCACGACGTGACGACTGCAACGACGAGGACCAGGCCGCCGCAGCGCGAAATCGGCTGCCGGCCGCCATTGTCGTAGAAAAATAAAGAGAAATTCCGGCCGCCGGCGGCAGGCCGGCCGAAGCGAACGCCATTCAAGTGGTGAAGCGCCGTTCAAGCACCCCGCCTGAGGAGCACAACATCAACATACGCGATTTCTTTTGGGTGTACCTGTGCTAGTGCCAGTGCGCGCCAGTCCCGTGCCCAGTGTCGTTCGTGCGAGGGAGTTCCGTTGTGAAATTCTTTTCCTGGCCCGGGCGCTTGAGGCTGGCATGCTGGGCGTGGGGTCCGGGCGTGGTCTGCTCCGTTCCCAGGGTGGGAGGATTGGGTGAGGGAGGGGCGGCTGCTCCTCTGGGAGGAGGACCTGGAGGAGTTGTGGAGCGGTGCTGGCGGGGGAGGGGGCGGGAAGTCCCGCCACGAACGCCGGCGGGGGGCGCGGCGGCCGGGAGCGACGGGGGGGGGGGGGGAGGGGATGGAGTCCGAAGATGATGGGGATGGTCCTCTCGGCGAGCACCACGGTGCTCGCGGATTCGACCATCCGCCTTCTGACTGCGAATCCGACGGCGGCTTCTGTGAGGACGACGGCTTCTAGAAGCCGTCGTCCGCGCTTTGCCTGTTGTGTAAATAAATAAATAAAACGGACACCTCTACTAGGAGATGGGTAAAAAGGAACAGGTCCCCGCCCTGCGGTCTTTGTGCAGGGTTCTTTGTGGGTGTGGTCGGCGACTAGCCGGGGTCGTCCTCCCGATGGGGGACTAGCAGTGCTCAAACTTTACCGGTATGGGAGTTTTTGGCTAATCAAACCCAAGGCCTGCACTAATCAAAAAGTGGTACGGGACAGTTGCCTCACGGAAATCAAAGCGAGTCGGAGTGCCTTCTTGGTGGCAAAATCGGCAAAATCGGCAAAATACCGGGTATTTTGCGGGTATACCTGAAAAAACCCGGGTATACCCGGGTAATACCCGCACTTTTGCATGGTTTCGCCCCCGGGACCACACCGACAGCCGCTACAACTACTGAAAACCCCGCATACCACTTTCGCATACCACTATACCATACCACTCCAAAACTAATCAAAATATCGCCAAATACCAGTCTCATACCGGTAAAGTTTGAGCACTGGCGGACTAGCACTAGCCGTCTTCCACATGGTCCCTCGGGTCCCTGCTGCTCCTAATCTCGTCGTACATCCTCCTGCTGATCTCAGCAACATCCTGCTCCCTCCCTCGTCTCGCCCTGCGCGTCTGCTCCGCCTCCCCGTCGTCTGCCCTGCGTCGTCTGGTGACGGGTCCTCCATAGTCGGTCGAGGTCGCCGCCCTCCTCGTGCCTCTTCCCAACGTTTCCTCGGCGGCCGATGCCGTCTGCTCCGACTCCGCCGTCCCCGGGTCTGCCCTGCCCTCGTCTGCGCTAGCTTCTGTTTCGTCACCACTGATGTCCCTCCTCTTCTTTCTCCTCTTCTTGAATGCTTTGTACATCGCGTCGATTCCTTTTCGCGTGAGCACCAGCCTGAAGCCCGCCCAGCAGCTGAACCGCTCCCTAAGTCGGAGGAGCATCATCAGTCTCACCCACTTCGCTTGCTGCCCCCTGTCTCCGCTCCCTCCCGCTTGAGCCACCGTCGCGGTCCTCGTTCGTCCCACTGGCTGCTGGCCTGTCTGCACATTACCTCCGTTATCCCTCCTCCTCCGCGAGAATCGTGCGTGTAAATAAATAAATAAAAACGGACACCTCTGTACTGTGAGATGGGTAAAAAGGAACAGGTCCCCGCCCTTGCGATCTTTGTGCAGGGTTCTTTGTGGGTGTGGTCGGCGACTAGGCAACCTGGTTTGTGGACCTCCCGCACCTTACCCTTACAGGCCACGGCCATAAGGGACCCCGTTGTCCGTTTGACACCAGCCTTTTTTTGAGTTGGAGGTGATAATTAAACGGATTGCACTGTCCCAAAGAACTGATTCATTCATTTCACCCTCACATAGTTACACTACCTCAAAGTTGAAAACCTCCAAAATAGGCCGTCAGGACTCTGTCAGGACTCCGTCAGGACTCTGTCAGGACTCTGTCAGGACTCTGTCAGGACTCTGTCAGGACTCTGTCAGGACTCCGTCAGGACTCCGCCAGGACAACCACTGTCCCCCCGCTGTGAATAGAGCCCTTAGCTAGAGAGTAGGGAGGGGTGTACAGTCGAGTTACCCCCGAGGGCAGGGACGGCCCTCCACTGAGGGAAAGGGCGCACGGGGACGGTATCGACCCAGCCACGCAGCTCTTTCCTCGCGTACAGCCAACGAGTTTGCTGGTCCACAGGCAGGCCAGGCCGTGAGCGTGGGCCGGTCAGGCCTCATCCTGCGGTGAGCACTGGAGGGCTATGCGGCTCGCTCCGTCAGCCGACTTGCGCCGTCGAGCGGTCGAGCGCTTCGGGTTGGACCCGCGGGAGGGTCCCTGCGCGGCTGACATGGCCAGCCAAGCCGTGTGCGCTGCCGTGTGCGCTGTCGTGGGTGCTGCCGTGGGTGCTGTCGTGGGTGCTGCTGTGGGCGCTGCCGTGGGCGCTGCCTCGGTCAGCAGTCGGTCAGCCGTCGTCCGCGCTGCTCGGCGCTGGCTTGCTGGCCGCCGGTGGCAAACCAGGGGCGCGCGGGCCATGGACGTCGTGGCCGAGCTTTGCTGCTTTCTTGCACGTTGCCGGCTGTAACGTTGCCTGCACAATGGCCGCGCCTCTCTTGCTTGTGCGCTTTTCATGGTCGGCCGAGTGGCGCGAGACAGCGTGATTTCTTTTTTGTCTGTCTGGACTCTTGTTTGAGTTGTGCCCTTGTTTGTGCCCTTGGCACCGTGGAGTGCTGGGGGGGGCGACAGGGAGGATGTGGCCCTGAGTTATGTGTACGCCGACTCAGGGTGTGTGGCAGCCAGCTGGCTGTGTGTCTTGTGAGCTTGTTTGTGTCTGTGTGTCGCTCGTGCGTGTCGTCATCATCTGTCTAGCGTCCACCCATACCGCGTTGGTGTCCAGTCCGAGCCTGGCTGTTCTTCACCTTACTACCTACCTACTACTCTCGCCGACCTACCTCCTCGCTTCGCCAGCGCTGCCTATGACTGCGGCACGCACGTCGGCTCGCCGCCCGCGTCGGCCGCGGCGGGCCCGCATAGCGCGCCGCTCGTCGGGGGAGTGCCAAGGAGGTTGAGGAGTACAGGCTGCCTCGCTCAGACCGCCGCCGACGCGGCGCGGGGCCGCTGTCGGCGCTGCTGCCGAGCTCCTGCGCTGTGGGCTTCGCCATCGTGTCCTGAGTACGTCGCCGACGCCACCTGCCGCTCGCCGCTGCCTTGGACTTCCCTGCCATCAGGCAAACACACACACACACACACACACACACACACACACACAAACACACACACTATTAATAATCGGGTAATAATTATTAATTATTAATCATCGGGCGGGGGCGCGGCGCGGCGGCGAGCGGCGCGAGGCGGCGGCGCGGCGAGGCAGCGGGCGACGCAGTGCGGGGCGGCGCGGCGGCGGGTGGTATAATTGTTTATTAATTCATTAATAATGAATTAATAATTGTCGGGCGGCGGCGCGGCGCGGCGACGGGCGGCGCGAGGGGCGGCGGCGCGGCGCGGCGGCGCGGTGCGGCGGCGGGCGACGCAGGGGCGGGGCGGCGCGACCAACTGCACTGACCCCCCCAACTGTTTGCGCGAGAGGCGCGGCTGTCGGTCAACCCCGCGGCGCATATGCGCGCCGCGGAAGCTGCTCGACAGGCGACTTCATTGCGAACGCGGTCGCCGTTACTCCAACTTTCCTTTGCCGATCAAAAGAGCCCGTCCTTTGCTTTTTAGCCGCCGAAATTTAGGCAGTCCGTGGTTGCTAAGCCGTGCGAGCGGCGCAAGCGAGGAGTGGTCGTCCGGGAACCCGGCGCAGAGCAAGACCAGATGGTCAGCGCCAGTCGGCCCGGCGACGAAGAGAGTGCCCGCGCCCTCCAGATCAAGAAGGTCGTGCGGGACCGCCTTGAAGAAGAGGTTCAGCAGCGCGGTCGCGCGCCGCGAGGAGGGTGACGAGGAGGGAGAAGACATGGTCTGAATAGAGGTGCGAACGACTGGCGGCGGGGTGGCGTGGCGACCGACAGCGGAGGGCCGAAAAAGAATTTTACAACCAAACTCCCTCGCACAACACTGGCCGAAAAAGAATCTTACAAGAAGACTCCCTCGCACAACACTGGGCACGGGACTGGCGCGCACTGGCACTAACACAGGCACAGTGCTGTGCGAAAAAGAATTTACGCTCTGGCGGGCCGGGGCGCGCGCTGTGCCTCGGGGTTCGTGCGTCGCCCCCTTTATTTATTATGCGCCGTCCACGCTGGCAGACCCCCACAATGCGCTTTTTTTGTTTTTTCAAACCTGTGTGCGAGGCCCCGCGAGCGAGGGAGACGGGTCAGCGGAGCAGCAATGAGCGAACTCGAGGACGAGCAAAACCGTCCGACCCTGACAACCCCGCCCCCCTCGAGAGCCCGTCCGTGTCTGGTCCATGGTACGTGTGTGTGAGTGTGTGTGTCCTGTCGGCTCGCCTCCCCGTGAGCAGGCCTTCCCGCTCCACACATGTGCATGTGCATGTCGCGCACACCACACACGAGGGAAAGAGAACCAGTCCGAGACAGGGAGCCACCGAGACGACAGAAGGCGAGAGTCCGAGGCAAACGTGTGTGCGCCTTTGTGACCGGGAGAGCATCCAGCGAACTCCTTGGCTAACAAAAAATACGACGAGGGGACGGGAACCATGTGTGGGCACACACACACACTAGCATCACCAGCACGCGACACCACGCGTCAGACCCCGTTTGCGGCCGCTCGGGTGCAGACGCGTCATTTCACACACGGAAGCGAAATTTTATCGTGCTGGTAGCACGTTGGATGCTGCCGTCGGCCTCGCGGATCGCGAGAGCTCATACACGAAGAGGGAGATCAGAGTGAACAAGCTCAAGGCCACCGTGGGCAGCAGCCGCCGCAACGCACCAGCGATGGCCAGCGTCATCGTGGGCGTGGCCAGGAGCATCCTCATGCGCGGACTGGCGCGAGCGGCGGCACGAGGCGCGATCCGCGCCGGAGCGTGTGCAGGCCTGGCGTCGGGGTGGCGCACTGCCTCGGGAGGCGGCATTGCCACTGGGCGACGGCTCGGCACGCCATGCCACTCGGAATGTCCATCCCAACCGTGAAGCCGACGGCAGAGCGGAGAGATGCGCGACGTGTGGACAGCCGCCGCGGTGGGTGTCAGGAGGAGCAGCAGTACGGAGGAACTCGGGCACATGGCGGCAGCGAGGCGCTCTCGGTCCTCCGCTCAACTACTCCTTTCGAATCAGGCTCGCAAACATGAATTTTCCTATAATCAAAGGAGGTTTGCTTTTGCAATCAGCGTGAAATTACCGAAAGTAAGTGCGTATTTCACAGCTCGTGTGAGTAGTGAATAGAATTCCGAACGTAAAGATAGCCACATTACACTGAAAACCCACACAGTGCACACAGAGTGGAAGAAAGAGAATTTTACAACAAAACTCCCTCAGAAAGAGAACATCTCTCTCTCAGAGTGGACATTGCACACAATTCCCGTAACACCCAAAACACAGAGTTCACTCGCCCCCGCATCAACAAAACAGAGAACAACTCTCTCCCTCCCCCCTCACGACTCAGCCCCACGCACGGCGCACGGAGGACTGAGTCGCACATTCCTACAGCACTTGCCGCGTTGGCATATACGCGTACGCCCGCGAATCGCTGCCGTCGCCGCCCCTTCTCCGCCCGCGCCCACCTCTCACGCCTCGAGCGGCGCGCCCGCCCTGTCCGCCCTGCGGCGCTGGGGCGTGCCGCCCTCCGAGACGGGGTACGCTTCGTGGCTCCGTCGCGGCTTGCTCTCGCCGCCGCCCTTGCCATCCTTGCAGACAGTGCCGTAGAGGTCGCCGGGCGGCTCATAGGTGCCGAAGAGGCGGTCGAGCAGCGTGAGCCGCTTCGAGAAGTTGGAGAGGGGCTTCGTGTGGTGCATGGTGTGGTCGGGCACCTGCTCTCGGCACAAAGGGCGTGAAGAGGCTCGCAGCTGGCCCGTGTGCGGTGGCCAGGCGGTCTCGGCCCGTCTCGTGTCATCTCGTGCGCGCTACCTTGAGGTCGAGGTTGAGCAGCTCCGGGATGATGCGGAGCGGGTGGCCGTTCACTGTCCACGACATTTGAGTGTGGCCGAGCAGCTCGACGAGGTGGGCCCACGAGACGAGGAGCGCGATGTCGAAAAGGGTGTAGTTGTAGACGCGGCCGATGAGCTCGAAGCCGATCAGGTACGAGCCAAGGATGGAGGCCGTCTCCAAAAAGCTCAGCTCGTACGTCTCGTGCGCCACCAGGTGGCCGTGCTCCTATCAAGAGCGCTCCAAGAGATAGTCGAGATGTGGCCGAGATGTAGTCGAGGTGCAGCAGCCGCCGGCCGTGCGCCTTGCCGGTGTCGGCGTGGTGCGGCGCGTGCAGCCACCGGTAGAGCGTGCGGTTGACGTGGCAGGAGCGGTGGAAGGTGTAGAAGCCAACGTCCAGCCCAATGTCAAAAACAAAGGTGCGCCACGGCGCATGCAGCCACGACTCGACGGTGGGGTCATCGATTTTTACCCACGGCCAGATCATGTACCCCACCGTGAGCCCCACCGCCTCCAGGAACGAGACCTTCAGCTGCGTCCGCACCGCTCGCAGGCAAAGCGGCTTGAGCGGCCGGCCCTCGTACTCGTCCGCCATCGCCTGCACGGACCACGCCTCGAAGAGGCCTATCGGAAGGATGAACGGCCAATAGACCGCTGGCCGGTCGAGGCCGACGCCTTGCGAGAGCTTGACGAGACGCATCACGGCGAAGCGGGCGAGGACGACCACCGTCTGTTGCGGCCACAGCCGACAGATGAAGCGGCACCGCCGCCAGCGGTCGGCCTGCGGAGAGGTCCTGTAGACCCAGCAGAGGTTGAAGGCAAATCCTGCGAGCCAGACGGCCAACATGCTCTTTGCGTACTCGATTGACGCCATCGTGACGGCAAATGGGTGGTGTGGCAGCGGCGGAGGTGGGCTTTGTGAGCTTGGATCGACCTGTGCTGATGGGCCTGCACGGGTTTCTTTCGGCCCATTAGGTGGGATGCCAAGGTGTTCGCGGGCATTTCTTTCCTTTTCTCGCGAGTAATGAAAACAGCACCGGATTTTTCTTTCCTAGCTCTGCGGACCCCTCCACCCTTCGCATACCCGCCCCGCGAACGGGCATACCCGGGACTGCCCGGTGATGCTCGCCAGCGCCGTCCTCTCCCCGCTCTTCGCGCCTCGGCAGGCGTCCCTGATCGCCGGCAAGTGGTACCCGGACCCCGTTCCTGCCTTCCCAAACGCCGACGGCGAGATCGGCCGGCTCCGGCAACAGCTCGAGCAGGCGCAGGCGGATGCGGCGGCAGCGCAGGAGCGCGCACGCGCTGAGCCCGCGGCGCGCTCTCGGGCGGCTGAGGAGGGTGGAGCGCGGAGGGCAGCAACTCGACCGATTGCGCTGCCGCCGCCGGGAAGCCTCACGGCAATCATAAGCCCCGCCCGAGCTCACACCATGGTGCACGATCCGCTCACGCCTGCGCCTTCACACAGACCTTGAACAGAAGAAGGTGCCTCGAATAGCGCGGCTCCCACCTAGGCGGTCAACCTAGGGATGTGGTTCTCGCTGGCGGTGGCGTCGGCGCTGCGGATGCGGCACGGTGCGACCGCCGCGGCGACGGCTTGCCTGGCGCTGGGCGTGGCGGGCTGTGCGCTGGCACTGCTGCAGCTGGCGAGGCCGCTGCTGGCCAGCGTCAGGAGGTGAGAGCAGTCAGGCCCTTCCTCTCCTCCACCCTCCCACCCGACGATGGCTGAGAAGCCTGGTTCCTGCCCCTCTGCTCCTCGCTGCAGCGCTCTCGGGATCGACGACAGAGGAGCAGTCGCCGGCGAGCCGCGAGCTTCGCCGAGATTCGCCGTGACGAGCGAGAGTAACCACCAAGTCGGATTGGTCGACACGGGCCGACGAGCCGAGAAGAGCCGAGCTTAGCCGAGATGAGCCGATGTTGTTAGCCCAGAGAGGGTTGCTCGGAGCGTGCGAGCGGGCTTTTCTCTTCACACCGCCCGCGCGCCCGCGCCGTGAGCAGGCAAGCTGCGATGCTACGCCTGCCGCGACATCTTCGACGTACCGCGCGGGGCCAAGCGGGCCGTCTGCCCGTACTGCGGCACCGCCAACCAGGTGTGAGCGTGCGTCTTGCTGTTGAGCGTGTGTGGAGCGGCAAGCGCGCGTTTGGACGACAATTGAACCATCGTGTGTCGCTTCCGGTGTTTGCGGCCCCTTTCAGTCGATGAGGGTTCTATCGGATCACGTATGAAAGGGAATGTGGTTTGGGGCCGACCTGTGTACGGCAGTTTAGAACTTGTACTCCGCGCCCTTTTTGTGCCGATTGTGTGACCACGTACATCATATATGTGTAATGTGACACAAAATGTGTAGAAAGGGGGTCGGGGGGTTCCCTCACTCCAAGGAGTGGGGGGATTTTCGCACGCTCAGTGTGGCGAGTCGTATATGAACAATCCCTACCTACTTATAAGCTACTCTCTCTCAAACAAGACTTGGGGGTAGGAGCCCAATGTGCCCGGTAACGATCCGTCCACCTGCACCGCACTGCGGGTGTAGCATAGAGGCAAGAGGGTCAATCTAGGCCTCTCTTATTAGGCCTCTCTCTGGAACGCCTGTGCACGCCCCGGCGTACGCCGTTACCGGCACCGGTCGGTCCTGACAGGGTTAGTCGCGTGTAAGTCGCGTGCTTCTGCTTGATCGGATGCGGGTGCGTGCTGTTGCGGGTGCGTGCTGTCGCTTGATCTGGTGTGCAGCCGCGAAGCCAGGTAACCTATGCTCCTGCTTGATCGAATGTGGACTGCGCTGCCGTGGCGGCTGCAAGGGGCTTTTGCTGCTCTTCTGCGTGCACACGGTCGACCCAAGCTCCGGAACACAGTGGGAAGCATGCCGGTATGGCAGATCCCAGGGCACTGGGTGGCTGTAAGGAATCATTCTTGCCGGCATCTGGAACACTTGGCTAGCGTTGAGCAGATATGGCAATGCCATCGAGCGATAATCCGCATCGCCCAGGTTCTGCTTGTATGTTGGGCCGTGCATGAAGGCGCCCGAGTGCTCCACCGCCATGAACAACCTCCAGTGGAGGCGGGTGCGGAAGACGTGCAGGCGCACCACCTCAAGGTTGTTGTAGTAATACCTGCCATTGTACTCCCCGCGCGAGTTGACAAAAGGCAGACGCAACGCTGCATCCACTTTCAGGTGGGGATTCGCCTGGTTGAAGCTGCGCAGAGCTCCGTCCAGCCGTGAGCTGGACGCGGCTTTGGAAATCGTCTCATAAGCATACGCGTAGTGCCTCGCCTGCAGGTGGGCAAACACGTCTTTTGGCCAAGCGCTGGTGATCCGGGAGTCACCTCCGTCCACACGCAAGTACCAGTCGACTTGGAGCAGTAGTGGCGAAAACATCACGAGGGCGGCATAGAAGCGGCACATGGTCCGGTAGCCAAAGCCGTGGAACGTGCCGCGCATTGACGGTGACGATAGATTGCCGCCACGATGGCTGAGGTTCACGTCCCGGAACACCGCCGCATAATCATAGTATTTGGGGAGGGCGGCGTCGACACTGAAGTTGACGCGCTGCCAGACCACGGCAGAGGATCTGACCTGGTCGCTAATCCGTTGCTGCTGCGCGTCTGTCAGGTCCTCATGATGCACCACGAGCGGGTATGCACCGTGGTGGCTGAAGAAGTGTTCGTCCAGCGCGGCCGCCATGTTTGCGATGTTCCACGACTGGTCATGCTTGTTGCCGCGCGTGCAGTCTTCGCCACAGGTCGCCTGGAAGGCGAGAATGGTAACGGCGCCGCGCGGCTTCGTCGGTTGCTTGGCCTGTAGCTCCTGGATGCGCTGCACGCCGGCGCACGTTTCGTTGAGCCACGAGCTGGTGTGCCACAGGCGCCCGCTCGCGGCTGCAAAGCCAGGGCGCTGATTGTCGATGGAATGGACGAAGATGTCCGCGTGCTTGTCTGGCTCGGCGCCACACGTGACCACTGGATTGAGATGATGTGGGATGGACATCACCACCAGATGTGGGATGGACATCACCACCAGATGTGGGCGGAGGAGCGGCGTTCCACGGGGGCTGCAAAAAGAATTTTAAGGATGGTTGCACAAAAGTCAATCAATCAATACTCCCTAGGGTGGGCGACGGATAACGCACCACACACCTCTCCTTAAAATCCCTGTGTGGTGGCGGCGTGCCGTCCTCCCATCCCTCCCTTGGGTTGTCTGTTTTCTTTCTTTCTTTCTTTAATCAATCAATATCCCTAGGGTAGGCGACGGCTAGCGCATCACACTCCTCTCCTTAAAATCCCTGTGTGGTGGCGGCGTGCCGTTCTCCCATCCCTCCCTTGCGTTGTCTGTTTTCTTTCTCTTTCTTTCTTTCCCTCGCCTGCCGCCGCTCTCTGCCCTCTCGGCGGCCGCCACAGCGAGCACCCACCCGCAGCCCGGGGGCCACGCGGCCGGGCACCAGGCCTTCGATGGCGGCCTCGCCCGCCATCGACCTGGGAGAGCCGCTCGCGGCTCTGTTCAAGCGCGCGCGCGTCGCCGACAACCTCTACCGCAGGTATGAGGGGCGGCTCGCGGAGCTGGGCATTGGCGATGCTGGCGACCTCCTCGACGAGGTCGCTGAGAAGGGCATCGGCTCGCTCGACATCCACGACCGCCAGGCGGAGAAGCTCCGCCAAGCTCTTCTCGGCCGGCGGGGCTGGGGGGACGCAGCTGCGGTCTTGGCATCCCTCAGCGGCTTGTCGCTGGGCGACACCCCGGCTGGGGTGGCGGCTGGCGATCAGGCGGCTGGTGGCGGGGCAGCGGCTGGCGGCGAGGGCCGCGGCGGCGCGCGCCCCGAAGAGGCGGACGGCGGTGCCTGCGACGCGCAGGCCGCTGAAGGTGGGTCCGGAGGTGGGACCGAGGGATCCAGTTTGGACCCCTTGGAGCCCGCGCTGCCGGAGAGCGTCGATGGGACGATCGACGCCGCGGGGGGGGAGGAGGAGGTCGAGGGCGGACGGAAGGCGCCGCGGCGCCTCCGAGGGCGGCGCGGCCGTGGCGCCAGGGGTCGCGCGGGACGGGCTCGAGAAGGTGCCCGACACCGCGGCGGGTTTGGCTGCTGAGCGGCCCAACCCCGTGGAGGAGGTTTCCACCGGCGGCGCGGCGCCGGCGGAGGGGGAGGAGGGCGTCCTTACTGAGTGTTC